ACTTCGCTGAACTTGGTAAAGCAATCTACAAAGACATGTTAACCATCACCCATGACACAATAGATATGGTAACAACGGCTGAATCAAAACCAGAAACAAATTACCTGAGGATACATCATATCCATTCATTCGTAAAAGACGAAAAGCCATGGCACATGTGGCCATGTCTGAACTAATTTCTTCATCGTTTAGCAACCAGCATCTGCAAATTCAGCTAGGATCAAGTTATTTTAAATCAAAATCTCAACATATTAAAAAATTTACTTTTAGCGTGGCACCTATATATTCTGTCCAAAATGCTCTTTATCTCGTGACTAAAATGTCGAGCGACTCCCAACCTTTCAATGTTGTCAATCATGCAAAGATGTATATGCACATCTACCGGATATGAAGTAGGAACTGTGAAAAACCAACAAGTGTATTCAATAAATTGTGTAATATTAGCAAACTCACCTTTACATCTTATGAGACAAGGGAATGATGTCACCTGAACTGCCAAACCTCGATAGAAGAGAATGCAAATACTCGAGAGCTTTAGCATCATAAATATGCATCAGTGCAGCAGCAGTTGTGGATGGTGAATTGAATAGCGATCCATTTTTCCTTTGATATTTCATAATTTCTCTCCAGTCCAATATATTCCCCAATCCTTCTGCAACATATGCTAAATAGGCTTTTCGTCCCTCACAATTGTTTCCTTGTTCTCTAAATAATATACGAATAATTCTGAGTGAGCAATTTCAGAGCATAACAAGGCCATAAACAACAGATCATATAGATGCTGAAATACAACACATTATAAATTCAACTATGTTAAAGAATGATAATCAACAAAAAATGAAAATATATAAACCCCATGAAATCTATATAACATATAGAGATACTTGTTTTATATTTTTTGAGGAAAGATACTATTTTGCATTTGTTTCTACTTATAGAATCTAGACACGAAATGGACCGGCAAGAGCTATGTATAAAATTGCAAATGGCTACACCACATAATAAAAAGCAAATGGTACATGTTCCCCAACATAAAGACTCAAAATAGTTCATCAGAAAAAAAACAAAAACATTCCAAAACCATTAGTTATACTAGTCAACCATGTAAGCAATCTCATTCTAAATGACACTAAATATTGACGGTGATTAGTCACAGGTTTCTATTCTTGCTATTTAATGATCTTGGAGGCAACAACTAAATTATCATTAAATACAACATATAGTGATATCACTTTATTGCTTTCACTCATAGGCATGACTTAAGCATCAAAGAGTAATGAATTAGCCAACTGGATATTAAGCTCACGAATATGACAAAATAAATTAAACAGATCAAGGATGAAACAATGCTGTATAACAATCAATGAAGCCTTTCACTTGCACCAAGAAGTGATAACTAATGAAAGAGCCCTGGCAATTTTACAATGAAAAATTAAAATTCTTGACTTAATGCAGGCCAGAATGAGCAAACTATTCAATAAGATAGGTAATTATCTAATTTTCAGTAAAATCACCTGAAATAACTTAGAAAATGTGTCTACTGATTGCTATAGTTAAAAGTAGCAAATAATATCTTGTATAAAAAATTACTGAGAAAAAAGGAGAATTCAAATATGAGAAATCCTGAAAACACAAATTACTTAAATAATTCCAACCTTTGTAGTTCTGCATCTCGCTTGCAAAGCATGTTTTTTGTGTCACTTTGGTCGGTGGGAATTTCTAAGCCAATGTTGAGGGCATATTCAAGCATACCAGGAAATATAATATCAAAGCCAATAGGAGAATGCAATTGCTCATCGACAATGCGAGAAAAGTTACTTTCGATAAAGCTGAGACCTGCAATAATGACAATAAACAGTCAATTAATGCACACACACAGTTCAAATTTATGACTCTTGTTTTGCATATACCTCTCCTAACATGTTCTTGACCAGATTTCCATCGCTCAAGTGCAAGGATACATGCCAACGTGCAAGACAGACCATCATTAATAAGAGAGGGATGGAAATGATGAAGTCCCCATGAGCCATCAGGATGTTGATTGTCTAATATCCATTTCAGACATTGTGGGAAACATGGACGCTGAGGAGACATCGGAGAAGGGACCATTGCTACCCATGCATTGTCATAAGATGAAGCTGAAAGTTCAATCTTCCGCAAATGCTCCCTGATTCTTTCCATCGATCCATTTGAGCACTGAAATGCATTTGGAAATTACAGTCCATCCACATGTATCATTACTAGATTTAGAAGACATAGATGAATGAAACTGACATCATACCAGTAATGTCCTGTTGCCACTTGTATACTTCTTGCATCCATGATCTAGTCTTGCTGCACCTCAAATAAAAAAAGATCAAAAGAAATTAGAACACAGCAAGGACATCAGTAACTGAAGAAACTAAACCCAAGAGGACAATTTTGTCAGCACCTCGTCACATAGAGATAAAAGAAGGGAAAAAAAGAATCATAGAATCAATTCATGTCAGTTTTAACTATTTATGAAGCAAAAGATGCTGATGTGAAGCAAACAATATAACAAGGAAAAAGATGCATAATCAAAATCAGGAGTATCTTATATCTTGGTTAGCCTAACTAAACAAATTAACTATTCTACGTAAGTGTCGGAAGAACTTTATGCTCAAGAAAACTACTAAATAAACTAATAACTTTGGAGGCATCTCGATCATAAATGAAAAGATTGAATCTTTACTATGAGGTTTTTACTTTCTGAAAAAGAAAAAAGGTAAAGCACAGTTGTCATAAGAAGCACAGTCCATTAACGACAATATAACCACTATCAAGCATTATAACAAGAATAAATTAAGCCTTGAAAAACATAATTTCATCGATAGTCCACATCAAACATGCCAGATAACTGAAAATACCAAGTCAACAAACATGAAATACTGACATTAAAAGGTTTATCTTCTAAATGAAATTGAAGAACAGAAAATAATAATGATGAAGAAGAAGCGGATAGTATCTAAGGAGACCTTTCATGCTCGGATTAGAAAAGTTAAGTACCTCTAGGAGCAGGACCTCTGACAGGTTGTGCAATTGGCAAACCAGACATTTGAGAATCTCAATCTCTAATGCTTGAAATGGAACCTTACAGACAACAAAATCCGACAGGCACTGCGCTACACTTGCAAATGTACACCGGAAGAAAAAGAGAAAGGATTGAATAAAACAGAGGGACGAGAAGCAAAGCTTCATGAATAATATTGAACGAGAATGCAAAATTTCGTGATGGAATGTTCAATTGTTCAGACAATATTTGACTATTATTGCCATGTTCGATCATATAAATGACCTGATGAAATCAAACTAAAGCAAAGAAAAGATTGCAGCTGATTTGTAAAGTGCACCAATCTTGCGATTTTCGAGGTCCAGTAGCTTTCCTTCCTTGGAAAATAACGTTCTATCTCTGATACACTATGCCACACCTTTTTTTTTTTTTTTTTTCTTTTTGATACACTCGTATGCAGAAGATTCTTATTCTTAGTGGCACATATTTTAAGGAACATGTATCTTTTTAATTTTTATTGATAAAGAAAAGTTCGAACTTGCAAACCAATACTGCATCGATGAAAATGAAAAGCAAGGGATATCCTTGCTTCTCAATCTACCAACGCTAAAAGACAAGAGGAGTGATGTATTCAGATTTTCCCTTTGATGAGAACAGCCATTGTCGAAGATCATTATCATCATCTCCTTATCTCGCCCGGTAAAAGAAGGGTATCGAACACACACACATGCCCACGCACATATATAGATAAAAGAGTAAAGAACTCGACAAATATGAAAGGGCCCGGGTCAAAGTCATATCAGAAATCTATCAATCTACCAATCTATCAATCTCATGTACTAAACAAACAGCAGGCCCCTTCCTCTGTGATATCCATAAAAGAATCGTGGGTACAAAATCACAGCCGGATATGCATCATCCAGTCATCGTGGGTACGAAAGAATTCGTGTTCCCAGCACACAGAGAAGGTTGTATGCGTCATGCGATGCACCAAAAAGAGTCTGAGGTGGACGAATAATGGATTCGCCGCGGAAAACATGGTCCGCAGAAGAACAGATGAGTTCTTGGGTTTTCACAACCTTGGGCATCATCTCGAAAACAAAATGAAGCGGAGAGGAATAGGGGGACGAGGAGAGGAAGGAGAGGGGCGATGGAAACATTATCAGCGACCGGAATCGAACTTCTTGAGTCGCACGAGAGCGAAGGAGAGCGGGCCGAGGCGGCAAGGACAGGAAAAGAAGGTGAATTTGCAATGGGGAGGTTTGTCGCACACAAATATGCCTACCTATTTCTCTCTGCAGCATCGGAAAATAAAATTAAAACGGCAGGTGAGCGCCGCCTTTGCCCCCGGTTGCCCCTAAATCTATGACGATCACGGCCAGACCAACTCATCGTGGGCCCCACCTCAGCGTCAGCAGCCGAGCTGGATCTTGACCGTTTCGTTCGGATTTGGTTTTCCAAGCCTTCTCGAGGATCGTTGGGAGTCGGCAATAAATGTTGCTTCTGAGAAACAGATGGTACACGGCGATTACCCAAAGAAATAGCTTTCGAGTTTCAATACGGACGAAGAAAACGATTTTTCCCGAAGAAAGATTGAACAGATTCTTTGATCCAAGCAGCAGACTAGTTGTGAATCAAATCATGCTACGGTCTGAATGGGGAAATCAATTCCAATTTAATCCCCATCACAGGATGATTGTAAAGATCTAAACTCTGACGAGACAACGCAGTATATGCTTCAGCAGTATGTAAAACAAGCTTTATTCAATAGCGTGAAAAAGGATTCTGTGGAATGGCAAATTGTTCCAAGCTTGTCGACCGCTTATTCTATCTAACATGGTTGGTTTAAGCGGAGAAATCCCGCGGGCATCAGACAACCAACAAGAAGCATCTTCTCAATCTTGCATGCATAATTTCAGGCTCAAAATTTGTAGACCATCTCTTCGCTGTATCCCAGCTCCTTAAGTATGCCGGTGAGCTGCACCCGAAAGTATCCAGACAACGATAAGGATTCTACTACTTTAAATAGTCACTAAAAGCTCGTTAAAGTATATCAACTCATGAAACCATATGTTTCTTAACGTGGCATGTCGAAGAAGCAAACTAACAAATATATGAAAGAACATTCTGAATTAAGGCACCGACACAATGTCAATGGTTTGCGATCTTGAAACTTGCTTTACATGATTCATTATTTACTTGATTTATTACTAACACCGTATATATAATGTTTACCGACACATTGCAAGATCCATCTAAGGAGAAGGAATAATAGAAGACCATCTAGATACGAGTATATATAAATTACCTCGCCTTGCGACCTGTCTTTTGCCTTGTCTCCAGATATATGCTTCATCATACCTGGGGGACCACATACCTGTAAAGATGCAACGAAATCAAAAGTTTATCAATTTGTTAGTCCTTGGTCTGTAAGATGGTTCTCTGCAAGATAATCTATTGCAATTTCCTGCTGATATTGAATTGAAAACAAAGATATCACTTATTAGCATTCACTATCACTACGGGAGTTGCTACTTTCAGTTATAGTTTTTGGTTCTCCAATCTTTTTCCTACACTACCAGTTTAGGACATCAGATGAATCCTAATCGAGTACCCTCATGTGAGCTATTAATAGTTTTAAAAACTACATTCAAGACTTGTATGTAACATTCCTAAACATCCTTATGGTCACTGAGATTGACATGGAAATTACCAATTCCACCATTAATTATGTTGAGAGCTATATAAGTAACTCAAAGGACCAAATAAGGAAAAAAAAAAAGAACTAATAGCTGTTCAAGATTTAAAAGAAATTGAAACAACGCACGAGTATCAGTGTCTCTTCTCCAGGACTTGGTAAGCCTTTTAAAACCATGTCCTTTGATACATATCCTGTACCTCCTCTCCAGGTTTTGGAAGGCTTATCCACTGTGTAGAATACCTGCAATTTTCGTAGACAGGAAAAACAATTAATTAGAAAAAAAAAGTATCAGTTTGTATCTAAAGAGGAAGTTTCTCAGGTGAGCTACCTTAAAATTTGGGTAGCTTGTAGAGAGTCTGTCAAGTTCCCCTTTCAGCAAGATATCATCTGGTGATATGTTAGCATAAATCAAGGATACCTGATTCATCAAGGAGCCATTATAAAAACAAGAGTTAACTAACTGTAGACCATAATAAGGCAACATTCTAATAGTATATACTAGATATAGAATGTTAGGCACCAATAAATTCCGAAACAGAATCAAAATCACGCTTATATCAATGGCCGAATTTTTATAATGTTAGTAGCCACGAACCTCAAAGGTGAAAGTAAAAAGTCACCTGGGTGTTATCATCAGGATTCTTCAAAATAGCCTTTATAACCTGTAGCATTGGTGTGATACCTGTGCCCCCCGCGATCTAAGAATGAAATACAAGCATAAGCAATCAAAACATGTAATGTTATTTGATAAATTTCTGCATTACCCCGGGTTGGGAACTAGGACAAATTCAAAACTTCAGCATTCAAACACTAGAACTTGATATAAAATACAAAGCATGCACCAATTTCCATCAGACAACATTATTGTGTCCTCCACTGCAAACTTCTGCCAAACGGATACTAAAACCAAACTTCACTCTTAAATGCGTCAATAAATCCATATAGAGAGTTCAGAATTTAGAGTACAGTCCTTCAGAATGAATAATCTTCAAAGTCATAGATCTGGATATCCAGAATGACTTTTTCAGCTTACATGATTGGTGGTTTCATGTAACTTCAGCATGCAAACACCAGAACTTGAGATAAAATACAAAACATGCACCAATTTCCATCAGACAACATTATTGTGACTTCCACTGCAAACTTCTGCCAAA